AAAAAAAAAAAAAAAGAAAGTCTCACTTTTCTGTTTAAAGCGAATTACGTCCACAGACCTGTCCTCCATCCTTGCTGCAACCAACATCCCCAGGCCCCCGTGAAACAGGGGAAGAGCCTTGCTCCCCAACGCCCAGGCTCAGGCACCCCACTCAAAGGGGCATCCCTCTGATGTTGAAGCCTGCCAGGAGGCAGGCAGCCCAGAGCACACACAGACTCCCTGGGAGTCTCCAGATCCCAATGTTGGATGCTCCTCCGTTCCCGATCTGGGGGAGCCCCTCCCTGAAACAGCACACTGTGGGTTGGGAGAAGTGGGGGGGGGGCGAAGACAGAGAGGTACCCATGTGTACATTTTGGAGCCAGACTCAGACAGCAAGACTGAGGGATGAAAGCTGCCCCCAAAGGCACTGACCCCATACGTTGGCAGGAGGGAACTCACTTGGACCTGGAACCCCCACTGCTTCTCCCGTGCCCCGGCAGGCTCCATAGCAGCTGGTTCCCTAATAGCTCACCCGACAGGTGTAGAGCAGCACGTATGGCAACTCCCTCATTCCCCCGTGACCGCTATGCCATCCCCACGTGCAGACACTCAGAGAGGCTGGGTAATCTGCCCCAAGTCCCACCGCTGGCAGCACCCAGAGCCAGACCCTCTCCCAGGTCCACAAGATTTCAGAGTTGTCTTGTGAAGACAGAAGTGGTTTCTTCCCTGCAGGCTGACCTTTTCTGCATCAGGATGGTCTAATCACACTAATGATGATTAGAGTCATCCTTCCATCCAGAAAACTGCAAGGCACTGACCAACAGAGGAACCAGGTGCTAGTGAGAAGGGGCAGGTGGAAGGCTGGCAGGCAGGTGCCGAGGGGAATGTGGGCTCTGGCGACATGACTCTGGCTGCTCTGAAGCATTCCGGCTCCCTCCCAGCGCCTGGCATGGAGCACATCCCTGGCCCAGAGCCCAGGCAGGCCCAGGCAGGGATGGCTCCCCAAGGGCAACCAGCCTTACGAGGCGGTTGACCTCTGCAGCAGGCTGCGATTTCCAGGGGCTGCCCCCACATTCCTTCCCACGAGCAGAGGCACACCCTCGGCCCAGCAGCTTCCGTCACACCATGTACCATATATCACACTGACACTTTCTATTTATAGGCATATAAGTGTCGCCACAAACATATGCCGGGGAGAAAGACCACCACGGAACTCTGCTTCCGGGCACTGCTGGGGGGCTGTCCAGGTTTCATCCTAAGGTCTCGGGGAGCACTTCTGACTGGGTCAGACTCTCCCCACGGGGCCCTCAGGATGGGCGCTGAGTCTACGGCCCAGTGCACCCTCCCCGGTGCCTAACAGGAAGGCCCCCAGGCTGGGCTGTGCCTATAAGGGAATGAAATGCAGACGATGGGGTGGGGGTGGAGGGAAGCCTTGAGGACAATGTGCCAGTGTGGTTCCAAAGACAGCAAGGGCAACCCAATGGAGTCCCTGCCTGGCCACCTGCTCCCCTTACCCCCGGAAGGCCTCCTCTGCTTATGGTCCTGCACCATATCTCACCGGTGCTATGTCTCTGGGACTCGGTCTCTACCCCCCGGGGCAGGGTGCACATCCTGTGCGTTCTTCCCCGGGCACTGAGTGGGGCTGGGAATGCCCACGGGGGAATAAAGGAATGACAGAGAGGCTGGAGGAATCCCCACACACTGGCAAGTAGAATGCCGCTGCCTCCCCCACTCCCTTCTAAATTCAGCAGGACCAGCCGGTCTGTGAGCAGCTGGCAGGGACACCACATCTCCAGTGAGCAGCACTCAGAGGGGCCTGGGGCAGAGCAGGTGCCCCAGGGAGCGATCGACACTGATGAGCCAAAGGTTGGAAAGTCGGACAGGTCAAACTGGGACGTGATGTGACTTGCTGGGGCTCGCAGCAGGCAGGCAGACCCCTGGCACACCATCCCGCCCCTGGGGACAGGACAGGCACGGGGAGAAGCTGGAGACCATGCACAAAGCCACAACCAGGAGGAGGACAGGGAGCTGGAGCAGCAGGTGTGAGATCTGGCACACAAACCCCTGCGGGCTCCCAGAGAGACACTGTGAGCTGCAAAGGTGGGGGCATAGGGGGAGATGGGGACACAGGGCAGTCAAAGCTTCCACTCACCTCATGAGAGTTGGTGCCATGAGCCACTCTGGTTTTGCAAACTATGGAGCAGGGAGAGAAAAGCAGAGAGAAATCAGTGAGGTTATTCTCCACAAAGCCTGACTCGCGGCACAGGGAGAAATTCTTGACCCTCCAGCAGCCCGTGGGGATGAGGGGCAGGTAGCAGACACGCGGACTCAACAACGGCCAGCATCTGCACTCAGGCGTCTGGACAGACAGTGCCAGGCCGGCAAAAGAGCACCCGCCGCCCACACCACCTGACGACCCGTGACCGCTGAGTGCTGCAAAGCCCTCCCTGGCGGCCAAGGCCTTCACGCACCCCAGGGAGCACAGACAGCCCCCCATCCCCACCCGGCCCGCGGCCCGGCCAGCCTGCCCAGCGGGGCCTGGGCGTGGTACGCACTGAAGGGGAATGCCAGGCCGTTCTTCTCCAGGAGCCTCATGGTGTCGTCTCCGCACAGGCTGGTGAGCTCCATGAAGGGTGGCGAGCAGATCCTGTCATCTGGGGACGGCGAAGAAGCCCACGTCAGCACGCCTGCCTACTAGCCCCCGGGCCCACTTCCTGTGACAGAGCCACCTCCCCAGGGCCACGCTCGACAGCCCTGCTCTCCTGAGCAGACACCCCCAAGTCCGCAGCAAGTGCGCATGCACGCGCGCGCGCACACACACACACACACTGACAGTAACGGCAGCATATTCTTCAATTACATTTCTTTTTTCTTTTTTAATTTTTATTTGAGAGGGAGTATGCATGCATCTGTGCATGTGAGCAGGGGAGAGGGGCAGAGGGCGAGAGAGAGAATCCCAAGCAGGCTCCACCCCAGTACACAGCCGGACTCAGGACTCCATCCCATGACCCTGGGATCACGACCTGAGCCTAAATCAAGAGTCCGACACTCAACCGACTGGGCCTCCCAGGCGCCCCTTTAATTACATTTCCTAACGTTTCCATAATTACAAAACCAGTATGTGAGGAGTATAAAACTTGACTCAAAAAAAAAGTAAGAACCACACGCGTTCACAGATAAGACTATGACAACAAACTTCTCAGCCTGAGGCGTATACACATTTTATGCACGCAGAACTTTACAAGAGGATCCTGTTTTGCGGCCCAGATTTTCTCTCAACAAACTATGAGCATTCTTCTGGTTCAATAGAGGCTTCTCCCACCGTGTGCCTCATCGGCTTAACAATGACTGCAGAGTGGTGCCACGTGCTTAGCTCCTGGCACATGCCTAGCACCGTGCAAAGGACTTTGCATGCATCACCTCTGAGGTCTGCAAAATAATCCTTTGAGAAGGAAGCTGACGTCAGGGAGATTAAAGTGCATGCCCAAGGCCACACAAGCGTTCCTGTGCCTGGGGACACAAGGGCCCTCACCCTCTCGCTACCTAAAGGACACATCTCATCAGCCACCTGCCTGCCAGGTCTGGCCTCCTGACTCTCTCCCTCCCTCTCTCCCTTTCTCAAGCACACTCCCCACCCTTCTCCAGCCTCCTGCAGACACACTCCAGCCCCGGCCTTGCCCCCCCCTGCCAACAGCTTCTCACACCCTGCCTTTCCTGAGTCCCCGGGCTCAGAGGGGCGCCCATCCAGTGGGTTCTCGGCACGTTTGGTTTCTCTGAAAAGCTCTGGATGCTGGGTCTGCTCTGCTTGTCCGGACGCTCCTGGTGCCAGGCCCTGAGTTAGGCCAAGACAGATCATTTGTGGGATAACCAAAGGTGCTCTGACACTCTCTACTGATTGCTAAATTACATTGCCGGTTTGTTATTACTGCTTCTTGTCTACTCCCCTTCTCAGACCAGGCCAGCAGCTCCTCAGGAGGTGGTGGGACCACCCTGTACTTCTGGGCACAGAGGCCAGGAAAGGCCGAGCGTTAGTGAGGGGGTGGTGCCCCCCCCCCAACTTGGAAACCAAACCAAAAGTAAACAAGCAAAGTGGCTTGTCTCCAGGAGCTTCTAGCTACTTGGCTGGCTAAGGTCAGTACATTAAACCAAGGTTTAAGATCCAGCCTCATATAGCTCATAAAAATGAATGCCAAGAATTACACAGGGCATGTTAAAAATGTTTCTACCCGCCCCTCCTTCCCCCCACCCCCGCCCCAAGCCCAGGCTCCAAACTGGCGCAAAATTGTCGGGTGTTGGCAGATTTCAGGGGTTGCAGGACTTCTTGGGGACCACGGGAGGGTGGTCTGGGGGCAGCGTCTGCTGAGCCCTGGCAGACAGTGCTGCAGGCCTTCCAAACACAGAACTCCTTTAATCCTCAAATTGCTGTGGTGGTGTCTCCGTGGGCAGAGGCCAAAACAGGCAGCCTGCCCCAAGTCACATGATGGTCAATGACAGAGGTTCAAAGGGCAGGCCAGGAAAAGAGAAGTCAGGAAAATAAGGGTGGGGACGTATTGGGGCTGCGTCCTGGCTCTCAGCTGTAAGCCACTACCTAAATAAGGCCCCATTTCTGCACCCCCAGCCTAGACTCAGAGCCGGGGTGGGAAAGCTTGTTGCTGCAAAAGCACAGCCCCTGCAGCCCAACCCGAACAGAATGCGACACTCAAGGCCTCAATCTGCAGTAGACAGGGGCTCACCTGGTTTGACTGGAGCCCGGAGCCCCCCTGGCCCACCCCCTCCCACAGGAAGATTCAGAGATCCCTGGAGCCCAAAAGGCCACCTCCTGTAAGAGCTTCCAGACTCCCCAGATGCCTCTGCCTGGCCTTTAGATTTGCCTTGCAATATCCCTGTCAACGTCCCCTCCCACCCCAGCCCACCCAAACTTCTACATGTCACTGACAACAGCCAACTTCTCAATAAACTGCACTTGATATGTGCCAAACAACACAGTCTACACAGCAACTCAAGCCCCTTCACAAGAACGCCACGAGAAAGTACTGTCACTCCCATTTTACAGAAGAGGAAAATGGGGCACGGAGAGGCGAAGCTCCCTGCCCAGAGTTACACAGTGAGGTATGTGGTGTAGCTGGGGCGGGGGTGGGGGTGCTCAGACCTGGGCAGTTGGCTCCCTAGTAGAAAAAGTGTCCATTCCATATTAGCAGGAGAAAGGACAAAGCTTTTATTGAGATGATCATCTCAACAGACTCAGAGAAAGCACTTGACAAAATCCAACAGCCTTCAAGATAAAAACACTGAGCAAACTAGGAATAGAGGGGAATTGCTTCAGTGATTAAAGAGCATTTATAAAAACCACAGAAACATCCTACTTTGGGGTGAAAGACTGGATGCTTTCCGCCTAAGATCAGGAACAAGACAAGAATGTCTGTTCTCGCCACTTCTATTCATTCGATACCATACTGGGTGTTCTCGCCAGGGCAATTAGGAGAGAGTGAAATAAAAAGCATCCAGACTGGAAAGAAGAAGTAAAACTACCTCTACATGCAGGTGATATGATCTTCTCTATAGGAAATCCCAAGGAATCCACACACACAAACCCCAAAAACTATGAAGATAAGTCAGTTCAGCAAGACTGCAGAATAAAAGATCAACACACAAAAAACAATTATATTTCTACCTACTAGCAATGAACAATCTGAATGTGAAATTAAGAAAATAATTCTACTTATACTAGCATCAAAAAATAACAGCACTTAAGAAATAAATCCAACAAAGACTTAAATGCTGGAAAAGACAAAATATTATTGAAAGACATTCAGGAAGATCTCAATAGATGGAAAGACGTCCCATGTTCATGGATAAGAGGTTAAATATATTAAGCTGACAACACTCTCACACTGATCTACAGATTCAGCACAATCCCCATTAAAATCCCAGCTTTCGGGGCGCCTGGGTGGCGCAGTCGGTTAAGCGTCCGACTTCAGCCAGGTCACGATCTCGCGGTCAGGGAGTTCGAGCCCCGCGTCGGGCTCTGGGCTGATGGGTGAGAGCCTGGAGCCTGTTTCCGATTCTGTGTCTCCCTCTCTCTCTGCCCCTCCCCCGTTCATGCTCTGTCTCTCTCTGTCCCAAAAAATAAATAAATGTTGAAAAAAAAAAAAATCCCAGCTTTCTTTTAGCAGGAAGTGACAAGTTAATCTTTAAATTCATGTAAAAATGCAAGGGACCCAAAACAGCCAGTATTGAAATCCTGAAAAAGAATAAAGTTGGAAGACTCACACTTCCCAATTTAAAAACTTACAATAAAACTACAGTAATCATGCAGTATGGTAGTGGTACAAGATCCGACATACACATCAATGGACTAGAATTGAGACACCAGAAAGAGAGTCACCTGATTTTCCACCAGGGAGCCAATACAATTCAATAGGGAGAACAACAGTCTTTTCAACCAATCCAAAAACCGGATATCCATGTGTGAGAGAATGAATCTGGAACCCTACCTCACACCATACACAAGAATTGATTCAAAATGGATCATGATCTAAACTGAAGATCTAAAACAATAAAACTCTTAGAAGAAAACGTGAGTGTAAATCTTCATGACCTTGGATCAGGTAATGGTTTCTTAGACACTAAAAGCATAAGCAATGAAAGTAAAAAAAAAGACAAATCTGACATCATCGAAATTCAAAACTTTTGTGCTTCAAAGGGCACTGTCAAGAAAGTAAAAAAGACAACCCACAGAATGGAGAAAAATATTTGCAAATCATGTATCTGATAATGGCCTAATATCCAAAACCTATAAAGAACTATTAAGAAATAAACAATAAAAAGATGACCCAAATTTAAAATGGGCAAAGGATTTGAGTAGAAAGTTCTCAACATAAGACATACAGATGGCCGGTGCGCACGTGAAAAGATGCTCAACATCATTAGCCATCAAGGAAATACACATCAAAACTACAAGGAGATCCTATTTCACATCTACTAATGGCTATAATCAAAAAGACAGGAAATAACAAGTGCTAACATCGCCAGTGGGAATGTACAATGATACAGCTGCTTTGGGAAACAGTCTGACAATCCCACAAACAGTTAAACACAGAGTCACAGTGTGATTCCCAGATACGCAACCAAGGGAATGGAAACCTATGTCCACACAAAAACCTGCCCAGGAATGTTCACAGCAGCATTGGCAAAAAGTGGCAACAACCGAAATGCCCCTCAACTGACAAGTGGGTAAACAAGATATGATGTGCCCATTCAATGGGGTATCATTCAGCCAGAAAAAGGAAAGAAGTGCCAACACGGGCTACAACATGACCTTGAAAACTGTATGCTGAGCGAAGGAAGCTGGTCACAAAAATCCCATATTGTGTGACTTCATTCATATGAAATGTCCAGAATAGGCAAATCTGTCTACGGTGGTTGCCAAGGGCTGGCAGGGATGGGGACTGACTACAAATGGGTACATTTCTTTCTGGGATGAGGAAAATGTCCTGGCCTTAGATAATGGTGATGGTTGCACAATTTGGGGAAGATATTCAAAACTATTGAACTGTATGTGTACTTTAAAAAGGTGGATTTCAGGGGCACCTGGGTGGCTCAGTCGGTTAAGCGTCCGAC